TTGTACTTCTATAATGACCTTATTTATCATTTATTATTTGGAGTCACTGTTCTCTCTATGTCTCTTTTCCCTTCCCTCCCACCTTCAAGACTGTAAGCTCCATGTAGACAGGGAATATGTCTTTTATCTACTATTACCCTCCTAGAGGACAGCTCAGTAGGTGCTTAATAAACTTTTGATGAAATAACTTTACTGTTGAATAATTCTGTTGTAAAATCATTCATGTTACCTATGCTCAATCGTTGAGAAATTATCCATTGTATCATCTGGGAAATACCAGGCCAATAAAACTAGTTATCAAAAAGAAAGAAAGAAAAAGGAAAGGGGAAGGTAATTGGTAAGGGGAATGGGAAAGGGAGGAAAGGAACTCCAAATTTTAAAATGGCCAAAATGCTAATTTGCAGAAGAAGGGAAAAAAATGTGGGTCAATTCAAACTGCACTCAAAATATGCTTTATTTAGGACATTTATGTTTCAATAGAAATATTTTAAATAAGAGGCCAATATATTCATTTCTTAGGTCTTCCTTTTCAGTGTATTTGTGATCTGGGGCACATATAGAACCTCTACCAGTGTCGATCACAACCCATGTCCTCTCACCCTGTGCAATCCCTCTTTTTCCTTAAGCTCTCCATGGAAGAGCCAAACAGTGCACTGACTGCCTTCCTCTGGATCTTTACTGACACTAGGGCAACACTTGCCAAAGCCATGCTCTTTTGGGTAACCATGGATCTCATTTAGATATCCCTTCTGGGGATTGATGAAATGAATACAATATTAATGAATACACTATCATCCATAAACAAGAACATCTGGAGAACCACTATATGAATATGCAATCCATTTTCCCTCTGCCCTCTCCATAGCAATGGGAATCACCTTTGGTGAGCATATGTTTCCCTCTATGGTGCCTTGCTTGAAGTTGGTACTCAGCAGATCATATAATAAAGTTATCTGCATGGTCTTGGCATCATGCATGATTTTAACATATTTATGGGAGTTACCTTGCTTGAAAGGAGCCAATAAAACTGCATTTGATTATAGTGAACCAAATGGTCTCTCGCAATCAACAAATGCCAGACACATTGACATTTCTACACTTTTCTGGTAATTGTGTTACTGTGAAGATATAATTCACCATAGAAAATTGTCTATGCAAACCTACCTGCTGACTTCACATACTTTCATCTGGGACACCCTCAGTGTATAAACTATTGTCATAAAGATTATATGGATACAAGAATGTTGGGATTTGGATTAGCAGTTACTGAGGTCTTTTCAGTTGCTTTTCTTTGGGAATAACTGCACTTATACCCTTGTCCATTCTTTTGGAAATCCTCATGTCCAAAAGGTCTTACAAATTGATGCCCAAAGGACTTGAAAATTGTATTACCTCTGGTATAGAAGATGTGAGGTCTATACGCTTTTCCCAAAGTAATTTTCATAAATTCTGTTGCCACTTACATGGGATATAGAGTGGATGGAATCCAAATGCTGATAAAATATATGACTTTGGAACTACTTTTACATCTGTTCCATTTCACCTCTATTTGTTGCTCTCCTTCCTAGAAATGCTCAGCAGGCTCATTTTCTCCTCCACCGCTTGTCACTGTTTTAGTAGGCAATATTTTGCATATTTATACATCTTATAATTATACTCTATATTATACTAATTATAATTGTTACTTATAATTAACTATCATCCTATAATATATCCTATAATATTTTGCAAATATGCTTGTCCCCTAAACCAATGTTACCTTTAGCTGCCTGTATCTCTCCACCTGGCACTGAAATCAAGCATTTGTTGTCTCAGGAAGCATATGGACTCTTGCAGTCTTTCCTTGCAGCAACTGTTTCGCATTGGTTACACTTCACTAAGAGATAGTTATTGAGTTAATTCTCTTTATTTTTGCCCATGTCTCATTTCTTTGAACCAAAAGTTTGTGTCAATAGAGTGGATTCAAAAGTTTGTGTGATAAGTTGGCTCAAAGGTCTTAGATTACACTTGGTCTCTTCTTATTTTTATCATTTCTTCTAGCTTTGATGTACTTCCATCTTTTTCTTAATTAGTTGGTGATATAGCCATTTTCTAAGGTATTACATAAAGATATTCGGAGCTCCTGGAGAGAATTAAACATTTGTTAAAAATATGTCCTATTAATTATACATGTGACTACTACACATCTAGGCAATTAGAAAGGATCTATGAAAGGCAGAAAGAATATCTTTAATATTGTCTCTATTAATAGCACCCAGAAGACCAGGTTTAATTTATGCACTGAAAAATAATTTTCACTTTTATATTATAGATAAAATTTTATGCATTGCATTGATTGTGTTTTTATAAATACACACTATATCTTGTGGACCCAACTGAATGAAATTCATCAACTAGTATTAACAAAATAGAGATTGAACTTATTTCCCTAAAAAAGCTGCAGATACAACCAAGTTGAATACACTTCTATCCCTTGAAAAAAATGCAACATTGAAAAACCTCTTCAGTGCTTCCTCTCTACTAGCTGCCAACATGCAAATGTGCCTCCATCTTATTTGTGTCTGAAGCTAGAATATTCATGGCTTTTGTCTCTAGACTTCAAAAAGTCCATTGTTAATAAATCCAGGACTCTGTAACAAATTTCCACCAATCTGGCATGAAAATTAATTCCCAAATTATGTTTTACAGCTTGAGAGACCTGGAATAGAGATAAATGACAAATACAAGGTTTGTCTGATTAAAGAAATAAGACTAATTTGATTAGACATGATAGAAAGTTTTGATTTCAAGATAACATGTGTTATATTGAAATGAAAAGGTGCCCAGTCACAGGATTCACAACAAAAGAAAACACTATCTCCACAGCAGAGTCCTCAATCTTTTCCCCTTAGATTTATGAAATTCGGCTTTTCTTTGTGGATAAAAAGTAATTATCAGAAATCAATTGAAGTGATTGTCTTATGCTTACATGAAGTGAGTTTCCATACACAAAGATTCTTCCAATTATCACTAATTAAAGTGATCTCATCAGGAAAACCAAAGATGTTTTGTTGTGTTTTTCTTTTTCAAACTCGAAATTATCTTCCGTAGAGGCATTTAAAGCATTTGGCTCAATCACTTTGGCAGCTCGTGGCACAAGGTTTAATACTGTATAAATAGAAATAGTCTTTGTGTGATGTCTAACAAGTAGTTCTGTTTGTTTGTTTTCAACTCAAAATTTCACCTACCCTAGGAAAGCTGGCAGAATTCAAGGTGTAAATTAGTGGGTTATTTTGAACTGAGTCCTCCACTCTTCAAAATTAAACCCCTTGAAAATTAAACACAATCTATATACATTAGGCTAACAGAAAAGAAAAGAGGGGGAAAAATAAAACCTCCCAACATCTACTTCTGGTATTTTTCCATCTAGCCCTAAAGTAGAGAATGGGAACAGTGATGACTGCCAAGGTAGAACCAGAATTGATAAATAATTTTGTAGAAAGGACGGAGGACACAATCCTAAAGACATCACTCCTCCTCCAAGTATAATCACAAAGGGAAGGCTTTTGTCCTGGACATCAAGAATGATTTATAGTTACTCATCTTTAGGATGGGGCACTTCTATTGATGTCCTTTGAGGTATTCTTAAATTCCAGACCTTTTAGTTATTAAGACACACACACTATTTAAATTTTGTACTTTGGAGATATTGAGCTTTTATCTATACTAGCTATGATTTCATCCACAATTTCAGGCTCTTCTTACAGGGTCAACAGATAAGATCAGTTCATTGGCTACCAAGTTTCCTTCCTTACACACATCTAACAATAGATTCGACATTCACTGTCACTGAGTATACACAGACTCATGGAACACTAGAATGGGAAGAGACTTTGGAAATCATATATGCTAACCCTCTCATTTCACAGATAAGTAACCCAAGCCCCTGAGAGGCAACATGGTTTAGTGGCTAGAGAGCTGTCCTTGACAGAAGGAAGACCTGTGCTAAAAAATAATGTTTACTTTTGTATTATAGGTATTAGAAATTTATACACTTCATTGATTGTGTTTTTACAGATCCACACAATCTTATAGGCCCAACGGAATCCAATTCATCAAATAATGTTAACAAATGATGCTGAAAGCCAACACAGCTAAGTGGATAGAGAGTCGGTCTCTGAATCAAAAGGACCGGGATCAAAGACCTGGCTCTGACACCTACTTGGTGCATGACCCTAATCAGTCATTTAACCTCTCACTTTCCTAAGCAACTGTCTGAGATTATACATTGCAGAGTAGGTACCAATGATTGGTAAAGGGGATTTCCTTACCAAGAGGTCCCTATGCCAATGAAATCACAGGTCTGGTCTTCCCCCAAAAATGAATGAATAAATAAACAAAGAAATAAATGGACAAATAAGAGGTCTAAGCAAAATTACGGTTTAACTCCCTTGGGCATATGCTTGTGTGACCAGGGGCAAGTCCCTTGACTTCTCAGTACCTCAGGCAATCCTGGATGACTATAAATCACCAACTAGAGTTGCAGAGCTGCATCAGTAATGGGAGTTTGCATGACAATAGCTCTCTGGACTGATGAAATTTTAGGTCCAAACCAAGAAAAAAGAAAAAGTCTATGACCTGCGGCAGGCATGGGAATGGGGTAGAGTGAGTCTCCCAAGGTCTCATAGACAGTCAACAACAAATAGTACCAGACTCAATGTCTCCTGAGTCCCAGGCCAATGTACTGTGCACTCTGCTATGCTGTCTTTTCTCCTGAAGCACTGAGTAGTTACTATTTATTACATTACCCTAATAGCTCACTCACAATTTTGAATTGAATGACCTGTCAGATGCCTTCCAATTCTGGAATTCTATGGTTTTAATTAAATGGAGCTGATAAGCTTTTATTCTTATCCAATTTTCCCAAGTCTTTTTAACAGACATTAGAAACATAAATATAATTTTTTTTATTTAGAATTTAGAGGGCTATCAAATGTTCCATGAAATCACCCAATACTTACAAACATGAGGCGTGTTGGTATATTGTCTGATTGTACCAATGGATTTTTATAGAGCCAGATCTCTTCTGGCTGGATAACTCTCTGGAATGGGTCCAAAAACTCTGTAAATCTGGAAGAAAACAAAGAAAGAGTCATAAGAGACCTGGTCTAACATAATGTCCTACTAGCACAACAATGAGGTGGTCCTTGGCTCCAGACAGTCACTGAGCAGTCACTATTTGGGAAGGCAGCCCAAAAAGCCTAGTTCCTGCCTCCTCCCTAGGAGTCTGCCTAGTGGAAGGGTAAAGTGAGAGTAAGTGAAACACAACCTAAAGCAACTGGTTTTCCAAAGGGAAGTAAGGAAGGACAAAGTAAGGTTAAGTCCGTGGTCTGAAACTCAGGAGACCTGAGTTCTAGGTCCATCTCTGCCACTAACAAACTGAAATCTTTTCTCTGGGCTTTGACTTTTCGTCCTCTTACAAAAAAAATACCTGGACAGATTTAGAGATTTAGGGAATAGCAATGGGGCCTGTCTGTCTCTCTCTGTCTCTGTCTCTCTCTCTCTCTGTATGTATGTATATATGTAAATGTAGGTATATGTGTAATCCATATACATATATGCATACATACATATGGACGCATATATTTGTTGTTGTTATTCAGTTGTTTCAGTCATGTCTGACTCTTCATGACCCCATTTGTGGTTTTCTTGGCAAAGATACTGGAGTGGTTTGCCATTTCCTTTTCCAGCTCATTTTACAGATGAGAAACTAAGGCAAACAGGATTAAGTGACTTGCCCAGGGTCACACAGCTAGTAAGTGTCTGAGGCTGGGATTAAACTCAGGAAGATGAGTCTTTCTAACTCCAGGCCCAATACTTTATCCACTGTGCCACCTAGCTGTCCTACACACATACACACATATACATAGGTACACATATAATATTACATACACACACACATATATACACACCCAGAGCCCCATTACTTTTCTCTGAAGCTCTATAGATATTTTTGGTGTGTGAGTGTATTTACATAGACATACAGATATAGATATAGATATACACATACACATACATATACACACATGGGTATGCATGTACATATATTTGCATGTATATGAATACATATATGTATAAATGCATACACATATCCATTGAATTTTGGAACTGAGTGGAATCTTTGAAATCATGTAGCGCATTTTACAGATGAAGAAACTGAGGCTCAAGAGAGGTGACATGTCTCAGTGAAAGTCACAGATCAAGTTAGCAGCCAAACATACCTTTCCTGGATTCTGCCTATACAAAACTGAACATCTGTAAACAACATGAAGCAACGAAAGGAGATTTGGTTGATACAGCACTAAATCTGCACGGAAGGTCTGGGCACATTCTAAAGAACACTAAATTTTTCCATGCTTTTCCCACATCCCACCAAGCAGCTAGACACCTGGGGCCTACCCATTGGTTTGCCTCAATAATAACTTGGAAACCCAAGTGGACGCTAATGAAAGCCAAAAAGAAGACTTGGAGCCCAACAAGAATCTTGGGCCAAACTGCATGTTCTGAAGAAAATAACAATGCACAATATATGGGTGTTGGGGAGCAGAGTATAGGTTCAAAGGAAATGATAAAGATAAGGAGAGAGAGTAGGATCTTTTAGACAAGAGGGTGACTTCTGGCTTTAAAACTGTGGCTTTCTTCCTTACCTTCCTACAATTATGCTAGCCAAATAACTAGGAGTGAAGAGAGGAAGAGATTGCAGAATTACAGATTTAGTGCTGAAAGCAACCATAGAGATTAGTCCAAATCACTCATTTTATGGGTGGGGAAATTGAGTCCTGGGGAAATTGAATGATTTGCTCAAGGTCGCCCAGGTAATAAAAGTGACAGAGCTTGATTTAAAATCCAGGTCCTCTGAGGAGGAAGAAGGAGAGAATGGAGGAAAGGAAAGAAAAGAGGAAAGAGAATAACATCCCAAAATGCTTTGCTACAAAGGAACCAGATGGATTTAGGCATTTCAGTTCTTTACCCTTTCATACACCCACACTCACTACATAGTGCCGTTCCTAGAGCTTGGTCTGAAGCTAACTGGACGATGAAGATAGCGTTAATCCTCCTTGGAAGGAAGAAAACAAACAGAAGACTTGGGGAAGGGCAGTCTGGTCAACCTGGGCTCTGTCCCTTTGATCCATTTACATGCCCCTTCTCCTTTGGATGGCGTGACCCTGATTTATCAGCACACCAAACCACTCATTCCCTTTGCCTTCCATCTAGAACAAAACTGAGGCCTCAGCATCTCTCTCTGGGTGTCTTTCTCTCTCTCTTTGTCTCTCTCTCTCTCACATACATACCCACACACACACAGAGAAAGAGAGAGAGAGAGAGAGAGAGAGAGAGAGAGAGAGAGA